TGTGTGATATATAATAGACCCAATATTTTTTCTATAAACAATTTTTGACATATTTCTTGTAATCATAGTAAAAGTTTTATTATTATTTCAACCAAAATCACCATATTTTTTATTGTACCATGCGTCCTCCAAGATAATCACATAATTTTGATTAGGCATTTCATGTCAATCTCGGTATTGTCCTAGTTATGATATACCTAATACTGAAGTTTTACAACCTGAAATGATCTAGCAAATGGTACTTTGAGCTTTTTGAGTCTTTAACATTTAAGGTAAATCTTTTAGTGTCTCTAATCCATCATTTCTTGACTCCGATACATCCAAATATATAATGGAGTCTTCAAAATATTTACACAATTTACGTTCTTATCTTGAGAACAAAATATTTCAAATTGACGATGATAATACTCTTTTTATCACTATTATCTAAATTTTGAAATGTACTTATATCACCTACCCTTACTTCAAACTTATTGTTTGGTGATCAATTAGTTGACAATAATTATAGTATTAATTTTTCTTGGGTTAATTGCCTTATGTAAGAGTATGTGTCAAAGAAATTGATCAGAAAAGACTTAAAATAAAAAGATTATTATTTTTAATTTATTATTTATCATTTTGCAATAATATTTTAAATTTTTATGAGAATTAACATATAAAATTAGTTCATCTTAATTTTATTGTCTTATCTCACTTTTTTCTTCTATGAAATAATTATTGTTCAATACGAAAAGTCAAACTTTTTTTTCTCGTTTTCATTGTATTTCGTCTTGTTTTAAAATGTTATATGTCTTATCAGTTCTTATATTTTCTTTTAATATTTTTTTACAATGATTATAATTATTTTACTTTAATATATTTTATTTTATCTAAATCTAATATATTTTTCATATTTAAAAAATTTATGAATTTTCAAGAATATATTCAACAAAAATGCATATTTCATCATTTCAAGAATATATTCAACAAAAATAATAGTCTCAACACTTTGTCGCAATACCCATTTACACCATGACATTCTAGAACTCAAGAAATGTCACTGACTTGATGTGATCCGCATATTATTTAGAGAAAACTTTATTTATTAATGCTTTTCTCATTAATAAATTTCTTTTTATAATTATTGGTTTATTTTTTATCTTTTCAAGGCTGATTTGACTAATATTTTATATACTTTTATTTATCGATTTTTTCATAATATTAACAATCATTACTTTATAGATTAATTATAATATTTGTATTGTTTTCTTTAAAATTTTATAATATAATATAAAATAATATATCCGTACATAATTAAAATTTATTATTGAGGATAGGTTGCATATAAAAATATCTGCTTTTGCCCTCATTTTAAAAAAAAGTTAAATTATGTCATTAAAATTAATTTTACACTATTGTATAAAGATATGACATTGTTGATATCTTTTTTTTTTTTTATATATATATATAATATCAACAACATTCACTTTATTAGAAGAACTAAAATGTTTGTATTATTGCTTTTGAAATATTATAATATTTATAAGCTAATATAAAGTATTGCTTTCCACATGTATTCGATAACTTTATCTCAGACCCAATCAAATCTTAAATACATGCACTCTTTTAATTAAAATTTAAACATTTTCATTACTTAGTAAGAAACTAGTCATTTATGTTAAACTGAATCCCCATTAGTCAATACATAAGGGAATCTAGTCAAGAATTATCATTTTTTTTGAAATATTTTTAAACCAAATTCAAGTGTTGTAATTGTATTTATTTGATTACAAATCAAGTGAATATTTTATTATTTATTCACTTCATTAATGTGATAAATCATGAGCACCATATAAGAAAATGGGATAAACTATAAAATATTATTGAATTTAGAAGTAGCCACATATAGGTTATAGTGAACACCAATTAAAGTGATTTTCAAAAATTAATTATCCCTACTTTTCTGGAAACTGATTTTCAAAATCAATTAAAGTGATTTTGAAATTAATTTGTGTTACTAATCAAACTCATGTGAAAGTGAAGTGTTTCTATGTGATGTCTAAGTGTCCAAGAACTTTGCAAAGACTACCTTCAAATAACAACAAAATGGACCAATTAATGTGAATGAGAGGCATAAAATATTCCACACCTACCCAAACAATTCAACACCAATCAATTATGGTTTTTTAATAATAGTAACCAAAATTCGCCAATTTTTATTAATGTATGTTTTCAAATTTGATATCAATATATTTATATATAGAGAGAGGGGAAATCTATTTGAATAAAAATGATTTAATAAATAAAATAAAATAATTAAGTTTTTCTAAAAAATAAATGATAAGTTAAAAATCAGTTAACGGAGAAAAATTATTCGAAAACTTATAATGTTATTGAAAAGAGAAAATAAAAATAAAAGTGCTATATAATTTAAAGAAAAAAATTATTATTATTACTATTATGATTTATATATTTAAAAAATAGCAAATATATCATAAAGAAAAAAAAACTTAAAAAAATTGATATATTTAAAGAGTGGAAGGAAAAAATAAAATAAAATTTAAGATAATACTTTAGAAAAAATTAATTATATAAAAATTATAAATAGGCGGATGCTTTAAAACACGTGTTTTCATTAATATATATAATTGAAATTAATTTTTCATGTTCAATTTTTTATTTGTTTTTTAAGTATTTATAAATAAATTATCAAATCTTATATTGAGACATAAAAGGGGGCAGTAGCTTGCGAAGGGTAGCAATGCAACCCAAAAAGTTATTCACTCACCATAAATTAATTAGTATGTCACATTGGATTAATTTTCACATCACATATAGTTAAATATTACTAATTTTATAATTAGAAAATTCAGATACGTACGTAGCACATAAAAATTAATTGAAAATATAGACACAGAAATGGTAATTTAAAATTATCGAATAATTTGGAGTGTTTATATATGTGGAGAAGAAAGCAAGAGTGGAATGGTGAAACGAAATGTTGTTTTTGTGTTAGTCCCACTTGAAAAAATCTTGACTTTTTCCTCTTCTATGGCTCATTTTGTGTTTCTTTCAATTCCAAACCTATTCAATGACACATATAATGTGTACATTTTAGAGTTGAGAGACGTCTAATTATGATCAATACACTATCTTTTTTCTGGCTGCAGTCACAGAAAGTACTGAATAAGTGACATTCCATCATATATCAATTCAATTTTTATTCTTCTTTTTCTGGGAAAAAGAAGAGCAATATGTATGAGTAGCGTATACAACATGTTTGAAGAAAATCCTTAGACCAGTCGAAGTGGGTCGTCACAATTTTGTTGCATATCAGAGTGTAATTGCAAACGCACCATTCCACTGTGACCAGTAATCGCGTGATGAAATCACTGTGTCAATGTTTGATTAATGATATGAGCCCAGTCACGTCATCTATAATGGCAGGCGCAACATGTACCATTTCCATATATGTAAAGGACCTTTCACACCACAGTTTAATAGTGGAACCTATTTCAATCACCATTCCAACTTCACTCCTCACTCCACTATTTCTTCCCACACACAATTATTAAGTCTCTCAAGTCATATTTGAAACTCAACCTTCGCATGATAAAGAAAAATGAAATACAAATTGATCTATTTAAACTGTATGTATTTGGCTTGTTTAAATGTATGTGAGTTATGATGCATAAGTTTTGATTGTTTAAACCCTATTAAAAAGTTTATGTAGTTGACTTGTTCAAATGTGAGTTATCATGTATATATAAGTTGGATTTATTTACACTATATTTAAAGGGTATGCATTTGGCTGGTTTAAAAGCATGAACTTTGATTTTCATATAGAACATTTTCTAATTTTATTAATATAGTTAACATTTGGTAATAATATTTTAAAAAATAATGAAAAGAGATTTGAAGTTAAGAAGAAAATGGACATTGTCATGCTAGAATATAATGCAAAAGAGAAAAAGAGAACAAAGTAATCTTTGGACATGAGAATTATGTAATAATAGTTTTCAAAATAAATTATAAAGTTTATACTAAAATAAAACTCTTTCTTATATAATTAAACATTTGATATATATGTACACAAAAGCAGAAATTATTCACTCGCTTTTGATATTAAACTAAATTAAATTTGAATTTACTTGTGTAGTAAAATAACTGAGGACTAGACTAAAAAAATTCTTCATCGTCATTTTTACGAAATAATGGAATTAAAATTTTAGTCCTATATTTTCTATCTAAACTCTGGTTGGTTCAGTTGATCAAATGTTTTATAACTCTAATTTGAATACTTCACTAAAATTTTAATTCATGTTATCCCTTTTTATTAATCTTTATGAAGGCTTTTTAAATCTAATTAATAGAACCTTTCAATTTGTTTTCCAAAATCATATGCATCGCAACGTTTATTTCAATGATTTATAGTGACTGAAATCATTTCTCGAAATTTAAATCATACTGTACGGATCCTTCAAATATTTTATCAAGAGATTTGCTTTTAAAAGATTGAACATGTCGTCAAATTATTCTTTCAAAAATCTAAATATGCCACCATATATGTAGAGTAGAAAGTGGCGACAATTTTTTTGAGGTATTAGCTTGATAATAAAATTAAATATGTGAGACGCTAATTTAGTGATAAAGTTTTAAAGAATTAAAACACAAACAAACAGAATCTTTAGAGAGAACAATTTATTATGAACAGAGTTAAAAGATGATACAATATAACAACTTGTTATTAAAGAAACAAATGGTTCTCATCCATATTTAATAACTTCTTTATACTGTCTTCTAGTAATCCGAATCTTGGAACTTTTGTTTCACCAATCCTTAAAAAGATGCTCCTCGTTGCAATATTTTACAAACCAAAGTTGACTTGATCAATGAAGCTGTCGTCATATCCTTTTTATATAACATTCCAAGGAACCATATATATGAATGTCATACTATCGTGGTATTTGGTCTTCCTTCATAGCCATTGTTTGAGAAAGAGCACCATCAAAACAAAAGAGATGTTGAATCTGTTGGTGAGAGAAGAGGTACTATTGGTAGTGCAGAACTGTTACGACATAATCTTGGTCGCATTATTCACTGTAGGAGTAACATATTTGGCTTCAAAAGCTTGGAAAAGAGCTACCACAAACAATAGAGAAGAAATTCCTGGGAGGTTGGGATTGCCTTTTGTTGGGGAAACTTTTTCTTTTCTTTCAGCCACTAAAAGCACAAGGGGATGCTATGATTTTGTCAGACTTAGGCGATTGTGGTATGTCACTACTTACTTTGGTCTTCCTATTTTTTTGTTAATTCAAAGTGCTTTTGTTTCCAACCAGAATCTGTTCTTAAAACATTGACCTGTTCAGAATCATGCTTATTATGGTAACACACTGTTCCTATATGTTTTTCCTCCTGAAGAGAAAATACACAACAACTCACCTAAAAACTTTAACGGGGTTAGAACATGTGGAGAAGGTAGAGCTGATAACTCATGGATGTATTACTTCATGTGCAAGATTTAATGAACAGTTGAATTTTTGGCCACAGTAAATTTCTAGCTATCGTGTTATAGTTACGGATTATAAATAACACGTTTATTGTCCAGTTGGATTTTAGGATACAATACATTTCTATTCATCATGTTACACAGGTAATCATTGAGACGTTTATTGCACAGTTGAATTTTCAGGCTACAAATAATCATCAACAAGTATACCATTAGTGGAAAACAATACAAAAATACTTAAAGAATTGGATCTAAGCTTTGAATACATTCGTCATATTTGAATGACATTTATCAGACATGAAAATTTAGAACTTGATAGAGTATACTGAAGCAAAATAAATGGAAGCATGAGGCAATAGAACATATATAACTTGGTTTTTATTGAAATAGGAATGGGAGATGGTTCAGGACAAGGCTATTCGGGAAGATTCACATATTTGTTCCAACGCCTGAAGGAGCAAGGACCATATTTGCTAATGACTTTGTTCTATTCAACAAGGGTTATGTAAAATCAATGGCAGATTCCGTGGGAGAGAAAAGCTTGCTATGTGTACCCGTTGAGAGTCACAAAAGAATAAGGCGTCTTCTATCCGAACCATTTTCCATGACTTCCCTATCTGCATTTGTCACCAAATTTGACAAAATGTTGTGTGGAAGGCTGCAAAAGCTAGAACAAAACGGGAAAAGTTTCAAGGTGTTGGACTTTTGTATGAAGGTAAAAAAATACCAGTTTTATAGATTTTATATTGTAAAGTTATCAGAAATAATGATGGGTATAACTTTTAACATCATTACGGTATAAGTTAATAAATTTGCTACATTGACATTTTATAATTAAATAATAATATAATTCTTTTATTTTATCAATATTACTTTTTATCACTGTCTAAGACGACGTGTTCTTAACTGTAAAAAAAGATGAAAAAAAAATCTCAATATAACAATTTGTAAGTTCTTTCATAAATTGAAAGAATGTGGTGGGTCACATATTATGTTATTACAATCAAGCAGAGTGGCATGATATGAACCATGAAATGGTTTTTATGTATGGACATCTTTTTATGCTGACTGCTTAGTATGATGATGGCAATAAAGGACATTTTAACTATTTAAGTTGTAGAAACGGTGCACAAATATGGTCCACTTTTTGTTCTCTTTTCAATCAAAAGTATACTTATCTTCTTTGGAAAGTAGCAAGTGTTTATAGTAACGCGATTAATTTACCAACAAAATTTGACGATCACTCTCGAGTATGAAGTATAATATAATGTGCTCTGAGTCCTAACTCCCATGAAATGTTTGCATATAAAGATGACATTTGATGCAATGTGTGATATGCTGATGAGCATCACGGAGGATTCATTACTACGACAGATCGAAGAAGACTGCACCGCCGTCTCTGACGCCATGTTATCCATTCCCATCATGTTTCCTTGTACCAGATACCATAAAGGCATCACGGTTAGTCATATATTTTTTTTAAATATATATTTTATATTTTACAAGTTCTTAACTATTACTAGTTGTTCTGAAAAAAATAAAAGCCTATAAATAGCCGTACCTAAATTTCTATGGTCTACTAGGTAATTTAAGTAAAAAATAGTTATAATCAAACTTCTAGTTTTTTTTTGCGTCTGAAGTTTAAAGGGTAAAATAGTTAATTTAACGATTGGTGAAAAAAATTACCCGTTGATATTACTTGCACAGGATAATAAATAATGAAATTGTCGGAACATCAAATATCGTTTTTCTCATCAATAATTGAAACTACTTTCTTTATTTACTCACTTGAAAACCACTGAAATCCTAAATTTAAATAAATTATAATTTAATCTTTAAAGTAATCAACCTCTCGCGTAATTAATCTCTAAACTAATTAAATTATATAGCTTATGACGAAAAAATATCTGTTTAAGGACTATTTACGAGAGAAGATGATACTCCAGAAACTATATTGGAAAATTTATTCCAAAAGTTTTATTATGGTTGAACTGAAAAAAAATGCTTAGCAGGCTCGTAAAAGGCTCATGGAAACCTTCAGAGAAATCATTTCCAGACGTAGGAGGGGACAAGAAACTCCAGAAGACTTCCTTCAGTCCATGTTGCAGAGAGACTCACTCCCACCCAGTGAAAAGCTTGATGACTCGGAGATTATGGATAATCTGTTGACCTTGATAATTGCTGGACAAACAACCACGGCAGCAGCAATGATGTGGAGCGTAAAGTTTCTACATGACAACAGAGAAGCACAGGACATACTCAGGGTGAGATACAGCACAGATTCTAGTCAAACTATGGACCCAAACACAACTAAGATTTATTAATTACTATAAGTATTAGGTTATATTAAACAGAATGAAGTGTGGAATTTTCCGTATTATTTAGTATTGTGTCATTTTGATGCTATTTGGAACGGATAACCCCGTTTTTCTCTCTCAAGGGTAGGATCCGGTGGTATTAGATACGAGAGCGGGGAGTTCATTCTAGAAAACCATGTGCTCACTTCCACAAGATAAAATGACTAGACTTTCATCTTCACTTACAGGAAGAACAGTTATCTATAGCCAAAATGAAACCAGACGGAGCCTCGATCAACTATGAAGATCTCAATAATATACGTTATGGTTTGAAGGTTAGAGTTTATACTTCAGAAATGATGCACAGGCTATGACATGATTGCTATTCTATTTAAACTGGAAGCATCTATGACAAAAGTTCCAAGTCAAGAATCACTTCGTGTTCTATCCAGGTAGTCAAGGAAACATTGAGAATGTCCAATGTCCTACTATGGTTTCCTCGTGTCGCACTTCAAGACTGCACGATCGAAGGTGAGTTACTCAACTCCATTAAAGATATCAATGTGTTCATTATGGTTAGTTTGTCATTAGTTTTTCAGGCCTTCCATGACTATGATACAGGGTATAACATAAAGAAAGGTTGGCATGTTAACATCGATGCAACTTACATACACAACGACTCCGATTTGTACAAGGATCCGTTGAAATTCAACCCGCAAAGATTTGATGTAATTAGCTTTCTCTGCATCGTTTTTTTTTTTTTTTTATGCACGTCCACGTGTTAAGAAATTACTTAACGTAATCAAATCTGCAGGAAATGCAAAAGCCGTACAGTTTCATACCTTTCGGATCAGGGCCTAGGACATGCCTTGGGATCAATATGGCGAAAGTGACAATGTTGGTCTTTGTACACAGACTCACTGGAGGTTACACGTGAGTATTTTGTGCCATACCACGATTCTTATTCTTGTATAAATGAACTACAATTAAAAAGATACTCCTCCGTAGGTGGACGCTTGATGATTTAGATACTTACTTAGAAAAGAAGGCACACATACCTAGGCTAAGGAGTGGTTGCCCAATAACTTTGAAGTCCTTAAGCAAAACCATGCTAGAGGCATAAAAGAAGCCATGGAGATTTACAAGAAAAGAGAAGGCCTAATAAGAACAAAGCAGCAGATAATTATCTATATCTGCAGATTTGTGAGATTTGGTGCACATAACATCACAGGAAATAGATCCGTGAAAGAGTTGTATATGTATTAATCCAGTTACTGCACTACTTTCAGGAAATGGTAATCCGAATCTATGGTTTGCATACGATTAATAAATGTTAGATTACCTGGTGATAGATGATGATGTGTCCTGTTCAACTTCGGGAGAAATCACAAGAATAACCAGCTGCTTGTTGGAAAAATGCGTAACAACCTCTTTACTTCTTATAAAATTGTGTATGGTTTAATATATGAAACAACCACAGTATATATACGTGGAGGGTAAGGTCGTCTTGTGTCTTTCTTTAGTGGCCCACTACAATAATCCGCACAAAACAGGAAAGTGCTTATGAAGAAACAAGTACACAACTGATAACTATTGGGATAAACTGCTATAATCCAAGTATTTTGACATCTATCTAATCAGAGTTTTACACACAAAATAACTATTTTAGTCAACAAATAGTAGTTTATCAATCTGCGCAAGTCCCCCACACAATATATGGTTGATCCCACACTCCCTCTTCGCTATGGGTATTACGGATCAAGATCCTTCGAAGTGCAAAGTACGCTTTCAACAGTAAAAGGTAGTGTTGATATACGGGTTAAAATGGGATAACAAACAAGGGGTTCGTTATAACCCCCAATCAAGAATATCGTGACAATGGTTATTACTTGCAAACAGCACCCGCTGCACTTTAGAGGATCAAAACAAATGTCTTGAACAATACTTTAGATTCATTATTTTTCCAAAATTTTATCAGTATCCTATAATGTTTACAAACTGATAGGTACTAAGGAATGACAAAATATGAACAGTCATGTTAGCAAGGTAATGAAATGTACAGAACACTGCCATGAACAAAGTACAGAAATGTTAAACCTTAATGAATAGAAATTGACTTGTACTCTTTAACTGTTTTTGTAATAGCCTGCTCCACCGGAAGTCTTTCCATACTTGAAGCCCCATAAAACCCATGGACTCCTTTGGTTCTCTTCAATACGAATTCCGCTTCTTTTGGACCAGATATTGGACCTGCATATTCCAGTACATTATTACATTATTCTGAGCTGGGACTATAAGTTCGCAAACACAAACAACTATTCTGTTAAGAGCAGTGAACAGAGAATGTGAAGTTCAATAGCTAAGCACAACTTAACTGGCTAAGATGATATGGCTCACATCCCCCGCCACAAAATTTACCATGAAGAATGAGTAAATACATTCACCATTGAATTTCTCAAACCAAAAACCTTCACACTCAAGTAATAACTAACTAAAAAATCATCCAAGACATTTGGATACAATTTTCTCATTCGATGTTTCGCTGAAAACATAATGAGCAGAGCGCCCCAACACATTGAAAATGAAAAAAACATTATAAAACTTCAAGTCCAATCTTTCTTTGTTTAGAGATCAAAGCCTTTTCCATTCCTTTGTGCTGAAACCCTCCCTCATCCATGCCTTCTTTTCTTTTATTCTCTTTTGGTTTATTTTTGTAACTCTTTGGGGTTGGCCGTACACAACTTAAGCCGAACAGAAGTCTTTCAATATGAATATAAAAACATAAAATTATTCAATACACAACTCTAACATAAGATATGGGAAGATGCTTTTTAGTTATCTGTTAATAAGCATTCTGCAGTTTGGCACTAGGCCAAAATAATAATAACTGTTTTGATAAACACTTAATATATACTATTAATCTTCAAATATGCATGCAGAAAGATTTTGAGGTGACTTGCATACCTCCATGGCACAACACGATGACACTGGGATTGATGCTATGCGCTGCTTCTGCAATAGCTTGTACACGAACTACACTTTCTTCAAGTGAAACAGCTGTTTTTGCTCCTATGGAGCCTGTTGTAGTTAGACCCATGTGAGCCACTATAATATCGGCGCCAACTTTGGCCATTTCAATAGCTTCATGTTGATTGAATGCATACGGTGTTGTCAAGAGACCCTTTTTATGAGCTTTCTGGATCATCTCAACTTCCAAGCTGATAATTTAATAGGAAAATGAAATGAAATTGTAAGAGATGTAAACGTCCAACTAATATGATACTAGAAAATCTTTTCCAAATACCCACCTATATCCCAATCCTGTTTCTTCAAGATTTTGTCTAAAATTACCATCAAATAACCCCACGGTAGGAAAATTTTGTACCCCAGAGAATCCAGTAGACTCCACCTGATTAAGAAAGTAATCCATTCTACGGAAGGGATCAGTAGCACATACACCAGCAAGAACTGGAACCTTCTTTACCACCTAAAATATAATTTAAACATAATGGAAAAGAAAGAGATTCAGTACTAGCCTGATAAGGAGACTTTATAATTACATAAATTACCAATTTTTAGCCAAGATAGGTATAGAAGGTTAACACTTAGCTAGCCTATCTGAGCTCAAGAATTAGTATTTCCACTTTCTTAACGGTCACAAATGAACTCTTCAAAAAACTTATTATTAGGTGAATGTACAGGAACGGCCCTTTAGACTTTATAGATTTGAAGCGTGGACAAGCACGGGTGCACCTACCTTGAGTTAAAACCCAAGTTTTTATTACAATAATGGGGATAGATGGATCAAACTCTAGATCAATTGGTCAAGAGCCTTTGGTACTATGTTATGAAGCAACTCTCCAAAAGGATATGTGATGAGTGGATAAAATATCATTATATTCATGCATTAATTTAGGTTAATTTCATATGTTGTTGCATTATGGGAACGATTTCATCATGCATTATCGTTGTTTTGGATCATACATGTTGGTTTGTGCATTGTGCATTGTTCTTGTAAATAGGTGTTTGGAAGTTTGAATTCATAGTTTGGAGGGAGTTGGTGTCAAGATAGAAAGATTTCAGATCAGCAAGTTTCACAGGTACCTTGTGAAATGTTCCACAACCTGTGGATTTGTGGTTCAGAATGCACAATTGAAGTCAGAGAGTTCCACAGGTGGGTTGTGGATTTTTCCACACCTGTGGAAATTCAAGACGGTTATGAGAAGTGGTAACTACCTCAAGAGAAAAACGTGGGACACCCTATAAAGAAGGTGGAACGAAACTGAAAAAGGGGGATGGGGCAACCATTCTCCATTTGTTACGTTCTAGTTATTATCTTTTGACAATTTTTATATTATGTAGAACTGATTTCCCTGTTGTTAGAGGATTGATGTAGTACTCTGAATTATATTTTATATTATGTAGAACTGATTTCCCTGTTGTTAAGAGGATTGATGTAGTACTCTGAATTATATTTTCTTGTTCTTGACAATTGATGTTTAGTTAATGTTCTTTATCTCAGTATTCTATTTATAATTTTCAAGTTCATTCCACTAGCAGTTTCACAATTGGGTGATTGGAGGTTGTTCACGATCCTAAATATAACAGGTTAGGGTTTGTCACAATTGGGAAATTGGGCATATATCTAATTAGTTTGCAATAGAGAAAATTATTGTTTTTTCATGATTCTATTGAATGTCGTAACTGACTTAAGGGATTGGGGGTTCGGATTCAATGAATAGTTTTCCCTACTAAGGGATTAGGGGTAAGGGATTAGGGGTAAAACAACTCTGGGTAAACTCAAGTGGATAATTACATTTCTTGCATCAATTGAAAGGATTGGAATTATATAGGAAAGGGTATGAAATCAATTCTCTAACAGATCTTATTTTGACTAAAGTTCTTATTATAATTCTATGTTTGCTATTTTATCCAAATTTTCAATTGCTCAAACTTACGTACATTAGGAATCTAGTATTCAACAAATTCAATCCCAGAGGACGATATTTTATTACTACATTAACGATTGGTGCACTTGTCAAACGTTCATCAATATGCTATTAGGTCAATATTGATAGAGTAGTTCTCAACTTCTCTCAAGGTTAGTTGAGAGTTAGTTACAAGTAGGATACAATTATCATTAGCTTCATACGACTGTCATATCTAGAAAACAAAAGCAAAATTCAGTTTCTTTCTCTCTATTATTTTCAAGGTATAAGAACTTAGCTATCCCAAGTGACACAGTCACACTCTTCACTATGGATTACATCTCAATCCTGGTGTCTCAAGTTCTCCCTTTTTTCTGCTAGCCCTATGTGATGTTAATTGAGGTCGAGACCCAAATGATAGATGATCCACGTCTTGTGCAATAGTCCATTTTGGGCCAAATATTATATCTTGGAGGTCTAAGCAACAAGTTGTTGCTCGGTCAAGTACTAAAGCTAAATACTGAAGAAATTTTATGGATTCAGACACTTCTCACTGATCTTGGAATTTCCTCTTCATCACCCATCATTTATTGTGATAATGGGAGTGTTGTTTCTTTGGCTCACATCCAGTTTTTCATGCAAGGAACAAACATATGGAATTAGAGTTCTTCATTAGGATCAAACACATGGAGTTAGATCTCTTTGTTGTCTGAATCAGATAAATTGTCAAACATATTCCTGCTCAAGATCAATGGGCAGATAATCTAATAAAACCCTCATCTCCTACTGATATCTTTTTTTGAGACAAACTCAAAGTGGCCGAGATCATATCTGATTTTCACCCACCTTGAGTTTGTGTATGCTCAAGTTAAGAAGCATCTGAAAAGTCAGTCACTTCAGAGTGAAAAAACTTCAATAGAAGTAAACAGTTGGAATATACTTTTAAGGTCTCCTAGAACAAGTAAACAAATAAAGACATACTGGCAACACTTCATTGGCCATGTCGAGTACAACCGCATTAGCATCAGCAAAAGGTAATAATCCAGCTAATGAACCTCTTCCAGCCATTCGGAAACGCCCAGAGTTATACAAAACTATTAGATCAACCCCTCCAGCTTCTTCGAACTTAGCAGATATACCTGTCCCTGCGCCAGCTCCTATTATAGGAATTCCTTTATCTATCTGATGTTTCAATTGCTGTAATATGAGCTGTGTTTTCTCCAAAGTTTCTGCAAGCAAAAATGAAAACATTATTTACCTAATATTTCCTACCTAAAGCAATTCTGGAGAGCACCTAACTTCAGTCAAATTGAGCAGCTGTTTAACACAAAAAGAAGCTATTGGCTTTTAGTAAATATCTTTCAGGCCAACACAAATTAAGTGTTAAAGGAGAAAAACACACAAATAACGTGGAAAATGGAAAAACTAATTCTTTATTGCAAAATAAGATACTGATTAACATAATGCAAATTCAAATGAAATGAGAACCTGTTCTAGCCTCTGGGAATTCACTAGGTGTATAGACAATGGTCCCAAAGCTTGACACGTTTGAAACATAGTCTTCATGAAATTGTTCAACAGATTCAGGATTGGCTACTTGTTCACGAGTAGAATCTTTACTAGTTTTATCATTAATCTCTAAAAATGTATCCACCAATGCATTTGCAAATTCAAGGTCATTAATATGATAAGGATACAGCTTTACCTGCACACAACTCTTTCAACTTTACAAAATACTCATGGCAATAAATAAAATGAAATTAAAGAAAACTTGAAGCTTATAATTATGGTAAATAATACAATACTATTGAGCAACCATAGACCTGTCTATCATCATTAGTTGGAATAAGGTTTTGTAATTCATGAAGAAGAGCACCCGTTGCTTCTGGATCATAGAAAGGCTTCCCAGGTGCATCTAAAGCAGATACACCCTTTTCTGGAAGGCAAACACAAATCTTTGATGACGAATTCTTCAGTTTATTTGCTATGAAACCGGCAAATTTTCTGTTCTCATCTACTGTTGTTCGCATGAGTGAAACCTGCAACGAGAAATAATTGATTTCTTATGTTAGCATAAAATAATAACATCGGCCATTTCAACTCATGGTAAACATCTTCAGTTTCCGGAGAGTGATAAAATGTATTGTGAATAGTCCTGTTTTAGTAGTCACAGGATTGCAGGAAATATGCAACTAAGTTCAAAGAGAAACTAACGGACAATATATTCTGTAGGACCTTAAAGTACTCACAAGAGCAAAGACCAAAACATAACACCCGAGTCATATAGAGTAGTCACCTGTTTATTGTGTTCATATATATTTCTCTTCTGAAACTCCAATGGTATAGTATCTTTAGCTCCAAAGTTCACCATGTCTAATGCACCCACACTCAAGACTAACGGGACTTTATTCTCTATGATGGCATCAAAACGAGAACTGTCACAAGCCATTACACCTCCAACTATGTAGTCTGCTACCTCTGTTGTTGTGATGTCAAAAACACCCTAAACAAATCAAAAGAAAGGAATATGTGTGAGCACAGAGAGAGACAATAAATATATAAAGAAGTATTTGAAATGAAAAAAACAGAATACAACTGACTTCGAAAAGCTTATCCCAATTCATCTATAAGATCACACAATTCTGTGAAAGAAAGTTAAGAGTTTACCTTCCCAAAACAGAATATGTATCCGTATATCTAAAACAAAATGAATGTGGTATTGAGCTTAATAAATAATTCATGTTCTTTGGTTAGGGTTGAAAATGACCAAGCAAAAAAAATGAAGTTTCTCTCCTAGAACATTCAATAAGCTCAATAGTCAGGCTATGTGGTTTAGCCTTGACAACTATACAGTTAGGTCAGGTCAAAGGCCAACACTTGATGTATATAAAACAAGTCCAATCAATTGGAAGCTGCAACTATTACACAAGGATCAGAACTTAACCTCACATGTCACATCCACAAGGTACACTGATACAAATAGTAAGGAAATTGTAACATGAAGCCTCAACAGAAAGTAAAGTTCTAAGCAGCAGCATTCTAAATTCATAAAAGATCCAGGCAGAATTGTCCAGGTAACAAATTCCTAATGCTATGATTTCAAATGAGGGAATTTCCATCACGTTCAACACATAATATCAGCTAAATCTGCCATAATTAAATGCAAATAGACTTAGCTGTCCCGGATACCTGTATAAACCCCTCTCTAACCAAATTCTCCATGGCCCTGCCACCAACCCCAGTTGCATGGAAAACCAGGGTCTCATAACCTTCTTCATGCAACCTATCCTGGACAGCAGTAACACAAGGAGTAGTAACTCCAAACATGGTTATCCCAACTGTAGGCTTGTTTTCAACGCTAGAAGAATCCTTCAAGCTCTGAATCCTTCCAACAAGCATCCCAGCAAATGCAGCCGCGGCATTGGACAGGACGAGCCTGCTAACCCTGTTGATGCCTGCAATGTCCACAACAGATGGAAATAAAACCAAATCTGAGGTTCCAACATAAGGTTCAGTTTGACCGCTGGCCACTGTGGAGACTATGACCTTGGGGATCCCAATCGGGAGAGAGGTGAAGGGAGACGACAGCAGTGACGTCCCCCCACTCCCCCCAATACCAATAACACCAACAAGACACTGATCCTGATGTGACTTCTTCAAGAACTGCTCCAATGCTTGGCTCATCACGGCAACCGCCTCGCCTCTGTCTTTCGGGAGAAGCAAAGGTTCATTTGATCCAATGTTGTAGGAAGAGACAACGTCATTCCTGGAAACAAACGTAAAATCTTGAAAACTTTGTGGCGCATTCGAGCCAGTAGAGACATCAACCACCACTACCTCTACCTGTCACCCATTCCCATAAAAAATATAACTAATCAAACTACAATCACGATGTAGAGTCTGAAAATATAATGCGCTCCCGCAGAGACTGTTTACATTACTTTGACATTATAAAACTTCAATAATTTGCTAATATGTCGTTAATTTTACCAATTAATTAGCTTAATAAACAGTTTGTTTTAAAGAACCGATTTCTATATTCGGATAAAAACAACATAAATTACCAATTGCGGGATCAAATAGACTAATGGAGGTAGTTGTTGTGTGGATTGAACAATTGAGAGTAGTAGGTGTGTACCTTGGAGGAGGAGAAGCGATGGAGATTGGAGCGAAGTGAATCGGAGAGGAATCGGAGCTCGCGGAGCTTGGTGTCGAGGGTTCCGATACAGAAAACGCGAAGCGTTTTGGAGTGGTTGTGGTGATCCATATTGGAGGGTGAAGGGAATGGAGGGAGAAACCAAACCTTTCTTCGCGTCAACCAACCTCACTCTAGTGTGCCCTGTGGCTGTGGGGTAGGACATCGCAATCACAATGTTATTAACAGGACTTTCAACCCAACACATGATGACGCTGTCTTCACAAAATCATTACACCTGTTAACTGAAATTTTCTGCTCGACACATCATTTTTTTTTTCTCAAGTCTCTTCGGTTTCTTCTACATTAATCTTACTTCATATACAATCATGGTCGAGACATGCTACAAACTAGACCTCAGCATCTGAAAATTTGTTATTAAAAATAGAATGATTAACAGTAGAGAATCGACATTATATTACTAAAATCATCAATATCTATGGTTAAGAGAGCTTATTTTAGGGTTTTTTTACCAATATAGTGTAGTTTAAATAGAATATTATATTGATGTAAATTTTTTTAATATTACCGAAATGGATTAATGTCAGGAAGCGATGAATTCGTATAAAAGAGTCCTCTCTCATGCATGTTGATTTGTAATTTTTTTTTAAATTTTAAAGTTGTGTTATTTAAATGATTTTGGATTTTTTTATTCGTGTTTTATAATATTTTTTATTTTTAATTTAATAATAACATTATATTTTATTTTTATTATATTTTAACTAAAAATTTTAAAAATATAAGAATAATTAATAAAATGACATATATTAATATTAATAGAAATAATGACGTGATGCAAAAAATTGTAATACAAAGTTAAGCAAAAAAAGAATTTAATATTGGGGTCTGTTTAAGTGATAAGAATCTATAGATCTAATTTGATGATACGTTGAAGGTGGAAAAGATAACAAAATATTTGATGCGAAAAGCATTATATTGAATGTGTAATAGAAATGTCCTCCAAAATGGTTTCCTTTAACTAAATTTTGAAGACGATCTACATAATCATAGAATGGAGCAGGTTGAAAAGTAGATTGACCAACTTGTTTGATAAGTTGAAGAACTAGACTATTGTTAACTAAATGGACCACCTTACTGATAACTTGACTGAGCAGGTGATACATGTTTATTTTTCCTCATATTTATAGATTAAATTAGGTCAATTGCATGCATTTTTTGTAACAGTTGAACATTGTTTTTATATATTATCATTGCATTTAACTTGTAGTGTAGTCTCTGTGTTTTGTTGAAAAAACAGGTGCAATTAGAACAATTTTTGTGTGGGCTTGAGTGACTGACATCACTCATAGGTTAACAGTGGAATTCTTAATTTTCTTTGATATTGGGCTTAGACTGAAGCAGAGCAAAGACAGAAGTGCAGAAAGGAGGGCTGACGTCACTACTACAAAATATACTTTCTACGTCGTTATTTAACGTCGGTTATAGCTGAGACGACGTAGAAAGTACTTTCCACGTCGGTTCTCAGATGAACCGACGTTGAAATTGAATATTAAACACATTCTACGTCGGTTCTTAGTCAAACGACGTAGAAAGTACTTTTTACGTCGGTTCCCATATGAACCGACGTTAAAAGTCTTTTTTTATTTTATTTTTTACTTACTGATAGCGGTTATAAGGGAACCACTATCTAAAGTGTATATTAGATAGCGGTTATAAGGGAACCGCTATCTAATATACACTTTAGATAGCGGTTATAAGGGAACCGCTATCTAATATACACTTTAGATAGCGGTTCCCTTATAACCGCTATCTAATATGCATTTTAGATAGCGGTTCCCTTATAACCGCTATCTAATATACACTTTAGATAGCGGTTATACGGGAACCGCTATTATATCCTCTCAATTATGATCGCGGTTTAGATAGCGGTTATATGCACTTTAGATAGCGGTTCCCTTATAACCGCTATCTAATATACACTTTAGATAGCGGTTATAAGGGAACCGCTATTATATCCTCTCAATTATGATCGATCATTTCAAGTTATGATCGATCAGAATCTAATTTCGCTCGAGCGAGGGTAGTATCGCTCAAGCGAAATACAACCCGAGAATGCTAATTTTGTGCAGGGGGCGTTTCGCTCGAGCGAGAAGGGTGTCGCTCAAGCGAGATACATTTTAGATAGCGGTTAACCTGGAACCGCTATTATATTATTTCAATTATGATCGATCAGAATGTAGTTATGACCGATCAGAACTATTTTAATCGATTAAATCTCGTTTCAATCGATTAAAACAGTTTCTGCACAGCGTTTTAATCGATTAAAACTTATTTTTATCAGTTAAAATTACTTGAAAAGTGTCACGAGAAAGTTTTGTAGTATTTCAATCGATTGAATCACGAAAAAATCGATTAAATCAACTTAGAAGATTTTTTGTAAAGTGTTTTAATTGATATAAACGTTGTCGTATCAGTTAAAACAAATATGTTAAAGAATCAAGAACGTATTAATGGATTAAAAGAAGTTTTAACAGATTAAAACTGCACTTTTAACAGATTAAAAGAATCTTTTAACAGATTAATTAAACCAGCAGTTTTGAAAATCTTCTATAAAAACAGTTTGGCTTGAACTTTTTTAACATACATTGAATATATCATCTTTTACACATCCTTGAGCAATCAATCAATCGCTAATTGCGACCGAATTAAAGTGGGGGTTGGCTCGAGGTTAGAGTTCGACGTCACTAGGGTATGCGTTAGGGTTCGAGCTCCGCTGGGTTTGCGTTGGGTTTCACAGCATGACAATTGGGTTTGGCTTGACATTGGGGTTCGATGTCGCCAGAGTTGGGGTTCGGCCTCGAGTTCGTCGAGGTTGAGGTCGGGGTTGAGATTCGAAGTTACTATTTGACATTTTTCTAGTAGTGAAATTTACACGGATATATATTTATTTGTATATAAATATAATTTATTTGTAAGTTATTATCAAAAAATTCAAGTAGTTTAGTGGTTGGAGTATCGACCTCCAACTCTAAAGTACTTGGGTTCGAATCCTGCCAATGACAATTCTCTTAAAAATTAAAAAACTTCTAAAAAATATAATATAAAGAGATGGAGGACCTAATAAAAATATAATATGAAGAGAGGGAGACTTCTAGATAAATAAAAGGGAGGTAAAGGGGTTGTAAATAAATAAAAATTATTAATTTAAAAAATCATACTTTCAACGTCGATTCTAATAAACCGACGTTGAAAGTCGACTTATAATCGTATATTAGATAGTGGTTCCCTTATAACCGCTATCTAAAGTCTATATTAGATAGCGGTTCCCTTACAACCGCTATCTAAAGTGTATATTAGATAGCGGTTCCCTTATAACCGCTATCTAAAGTAAAAACTTTAACGTCGGTTTTTTAGAACCGACATTGAAAGTTACGACTTTCAACGTCGCCTGATACAACGTCGGTTATTAAACCGACGTTGAAAGCCTTCCAGAACCGACGTTGAAAGCTTTATTTGTAGTAGTGCGTGGAAAGTGGGCTACTGAAGTTAAAAAGTGGAAGAGAGAGTAGACCAGGGGACATCGAATAACGGAGCAGCGTATAAGTTTTTTTAGGTTTTTAGAAACTTTGATGAAAGGTTAAACTCTTTTTCCTATGTTAGAGGATTAACGTAATATTCTGTAAGATAAATTTTGAACCTATTTATCTTGATGCATTGTAGTTTTATTTACTCCAGTACTTTATCTATGGTTTTTTATGTTTAATTTTAAGCAGTTAGATTTGAAAAAATTGATATTGTTTATGTTGATAGATAAGGTAAGTTGAGTTTTTGTTTAATTGGAAAATTATACAAGTTTAACTAGTTTATGTGGAGTAAAATATTAACCATCCAAGGTTCAGTGAATTTTTCTTCTTCTAAGGAATTGGAAAATTAAAAGTTTAGTGAATAATTTTACTTACCTAAGGGATTAGGAAGTGAATAACACTTTTAACTCTAGTGGGTAAATTTAATTCTTGCATCAATTAAATAGGCTAGGAATTTGTAAGAAGGGATGTGAAATTAATCCTCTAGCATATATTTTACTGCAAAAGAAAATTATTTTTTCTGTTGTCATTCTTTTAAATTTTGATTACTCAAACTTAGAAAAAATTAATGCTCTGGTATTCAACAAATATTAAATCCTCGAGGACGATAAAATGGTTACTTTTGTAACATTTGGTCCACTTACCAAAAATATACATCAGAGAGGTTGCTTGTAATTAGATGAACCAACATGTGAATAAGTTGGTTGAATGAGATGTTTGGTGTTGTTATTCCTCCTGTAATGTATCATACTAATGGAAAAAATTTATAAAATTAATATTTATGGATAAAATATAACTAATTGAAATAATACTTCATACTTATTTCATCGTCGGTATCTTGTGTTTATTGAATGGAAATATGTCGTGTGGTGCATTAAAAATGTCATTGCATATAAAATATATTTTTGCATAAATGTCCATTTTTATTGAACGGTTAACCTTGAACTAGTTAATTATGTTGATGATATTGTAGGCAAAATATCTTTGTTTTGCTTCTCATTTTTTTTTTTTATGAATTTCATCTAGGTTTGTTGGATCATGAGGAATATTTTGTCATAAACCAAACTGTTTAATAACTCGATCAACCTCATGAAACTTAACATTTGCAAAACAAATGAAGGATATGATATCATGTGAAATAAGAGAAACTTCAACATTTATTAACCATCGTAAAACACTTCTACGATAAGGAGTCCATGTAAGCTACAAATTAAATTAAAAATATATTATTTGAAAAAAAAAATATATATATATATATAGGAATAACAAATATATTGTTGTATAATACCTCATTTGGTTATAGTTGATCCAACATGAGTAAATATTTACTTCTTTACTTTTTATTTTCTTTATTAATAATTTTTATTTAATAACTTTTTGGATTATTTTATTTTTTTCAGCAAATGAGATAAAACAACCACAACTTCTAGTTAAACTATTCACTATGATATCAGAGTTTCGACAAGCTACTTCTTGATTTGATTAAATTCCATAGAAAAAATAAACACAAGCATATGATGGAAGAAAAAGATGTGGACATATGACTACCAATTTAACAAAGTGCATTAACTCTATTTTAAAATGAGCATGAACATTCTTAATAAGTGTCCTAGTCAAAACTACTTTTGAAAGAATAAAATTGTGGCTTTTCAAATGTGACATG